CCGGCAAAATATTTGCAATTGATGTAATCAGGAATCAAACCAGTGCGCAAATCATCTTTTGACTACTTTGACAGATCTACATTTCCACCTTTTGATGCCCAGAGAATATCTAAGTCTTCAACTAATTTCTTCACGGATGTTCCGTCTCCACCTTGTAATAAATTACGGAAAGATTTCAAAACATCTTTGGACACCACATCGCCTGAATAAATATTTATGGCGAAAGAACGCACGTGGCCTCTTGCGCCTGCAAAACATATGTTATGGGAAACTGCTGAAAAAACATGGCGGCGAAGCTTCGCACTGATCATAGCATTGAAACGTTGTGGTAGATTTATAAAGAGGAAAATCGGTTTTATACTTTAGAAGGTAAAAAGTAAGTCCCGTAAAAAGTAAGTGCCCAATTGGCGGGCGGCTTTGAATTTTATTTTAATCGATTTGACTGAAAATCAAAGTTATTGTATAATTGTCGTGGCATGAAATAGTTAATCGCCTGCTGGCGACCAGTTGTGAAATTCTGGTCGCCAGAGCAAAATTTTTAGTCGCATTGGCGACCAGGAAAGCGCAATTTCGGACCCTGTCATATGCTTTAATTTGATGCAATAGAGATAAGAATTTACTTGTAGGAACTCACTGTAGGGATAAAACGGTTAATGAAGTTGTCTTTTTATTTAGGATCTGCCTTTTGAGAAAGGTGAGGTGCTGTATATTGAAAGTGTTACTCGGGTGAGTACAGTTACGGTGTATGATATTCTAAGAAGTACGACAAACTATTCTCCACAAGGTTACTTATGTGAGACTATTGAAAGAAGAAGACATTTCTTACACATAGCAGTTGGCATTGGTCGGTAGTAAGGAACACAAATGCAATGTTGTTAGAACGACAACATTATTACTTTATTACTTTTTATTAGATAGATAGACACCTTCATTTAAAAGTGAAAATCTAAAGGCAAAAATTTCAGGGTAGTCCCTTCAAGGAGTTTACAAAGCATCTCTGCTATCAATAGGAGCCTTGAAGCTATTACCTAACATAGATTACACAATAATAGGATATATACAATAACGAAAACATAAATATGGGAAAGTATATTACAACAAATATCAAAAGCCTATAACTACCATAGTGACATCTTCAAATTGTATTAAGAAGTCATTAGGTGCATAAATGGCCAAATGAGTTTAAGGAAGTTATTAGGACAACCTGACAGAATGGTTGGAGTAGCTTGTGGTGGATATGCAAACTGTCTCTAAGTAGAGTAATAGCAACATTCTTGAGTCAGTTCATGGTATGGAATTAAGTGTGAGTATAATTGTGTGCCACTTGGACTGTGTACAGACTTCATGTTTCTTACAAACCTTTAAAATTGTAAAGTTGTCGTGCATACTTGACAATCTTCAGTCTTTATTTGTACTCACTCTTGCTAAAGAAAAAATTACACTTTCAATGAAAATATTAAAAGTAAAAATTAGAGTACTAGCTGCCTGGAATAACCATAGGGGCTAGCGGAGCCAGGCAGCCAGTTAACAACAGCATTAAATAGAAATAAAATACAGTTCAGCAAGAAAACTTGAGCACAAATGCACACGCAAGAAGAAGGAAAAAGAAGAGGAAAAACGCTATTTCTATTCTGTGAAGGAAGTCTAAAATAGTTTTAAGTTATATATGAATACAAAACATTAATATAAGAAGAGCACACAATAGCTATGGCAAGTAATAACAGCTATATATTAAACTATAAAAGAAAGACTTGACAAAAAAAGACCAATTGAAACTAGTTTAAAAGGCTCTTCCATGTTTGTGGACATTAACTTCTTTGGGTAAATGAGGGTTTGATGGTTCTATTCATTTTGTTGTGTCTCTTTCCCCAGGATCCTAACTGGTACAGAGCAAGAAATGGAAAAGGACGTAGAGGAATGATTCCCTATAATTATGTAATAGAACACAAAAGAGGTGTAAAACTTCATGCCATGCCGTAAGTTATCTTTTAGATGAAAAGCTACTAGTAGATAACCTCTCAAGAGTAAGTTACCATCTACAGTTATGTACTTGTACATGTAATGTCTTGATGGACACATTTCATTTTCTAAAGGGATGTAGTTTTACTTCCAGGAGATAAAACTAAAATATCACAGAAAGCCGTTATTAGAAATTGTAATACATGTGATATATTATTTTTTAGCATAAATTTACTAGCATCCTGTCACAAATGTGATTTGCCAATAGGCTATGCTACTCACTATTATTTTGTTCTGTAGTAGAAAGTGAATAGCCTAGCAGTGTTTGCTTGTTAATGAACTGGCAGCCACTTCTTTGCATTTTTGAAGTGTCTGTGAAGAGGATTTAGATAAAGGTTTGAAGGACTAGTAGAATTATATTAAAGCAATCAGATTATTCGCTCTCGATTTCTATGTGTGATAGTTGACTTGGGCTACACCCTTGTGAACTATCTTGGTCCTCTTGAGGGTGTATGATAGTCAACTGACTTATGAGTATGTGTATGTTTGTTCTTTGTAGGTGGTTTCATGGGAGAATAACAAGAGAACAAGCTGAAGATCTTCTTAAGCCAAAGGAGAGCAACATGCCCTTTGAAAAAGGCCTGTTTCTAGTCAGAGAAAGTCATAACTATCAGGGAGACTACACCCTTTCTGTTTGGTATGTCTTTAGCTTCATTAAGAGCTAATCTGCAATAAGGCTAGTTTTTTTTACATGTGCTGTGCTTCTACTTTTGGTCTTGACCTGTTTCTCAAACATCTACAACTGGCACAGAATGCCTTCCATCCACTGGTATTGTTTATTGCTGTTGAACTAAAAACTGTGGTTGTTTATCATTGGCCCAAAAAATCCAGGAATGTTTAGTCAGAATGTAAATTGAAAGACAATTTTAGTTTGACTGACCGGAAAATTTTCAAAATAAAATTTCCTGTGGAACAATTATGGCAAAATTTTATGTCCTTGAAGGGAGATGTGCATTGAAATAGAGTTACAAAAGACAAAACTTTATTTAAAAGGAGCTCAGGAAAACTGCAAATTATCATGGATGCCTCTTGCTACTAACTTGTATGATTTCTGATGGTCAAAAACCTTTGACTGGACCATCCAGTGTGATATGCAGGCACAATATATTGACACGGACCCATTTATAATACCACACAGAAAACCTGTATTAAATTTATTTACTTGGAGCAAGCAGTATGCACTGAGTATTTCAGTTTGGGATTAAACTGTCGACTATGACAGATTTTTTCCGGTTGGTCAGAAAGCATGTGGGGTGAAGACCTGGGACTGGTTAGGCTGTGACATCAAAACAAGAACATAGGTCCTAATATTTTTTGAACCAAACAAATAGAGAAGAAACGAATAAGTCAAATATACTAGCAATTAGACAGTCAAGCGCAATTCCAATTTTGGTTCTAAATTGTAAACATTAATGAAAGATATGTAGACCTATGTTCTTGTTTTGACGTCACAGCTTGACTAGTCCCAGGTCTTAACCCCCCACGGTTTCTGACCCGACACGGTCTGGCCCATGGAATCTACCAGTTGTTTTGAACTGGCTTAATCAGGGCAATTTCCAACTTGCACTAGCTAGCTTGTGCAAGTTGGAAATTGCACTAATTAAACTAGTTCAAAACAACTGGTACATGTAGATCCTGTGGGCCTTATTTTCCTGGTGTGTCTTCAATTCGAGTAGTACCCTGATCTGTGGTGTGAAACATATTTAAACTTCAGAAGTACAATGTCATGTATTTTGCAACTCACCAGCTTACAGTGGCTTCATAGCTCAATTTAACACCAAGGACAGTAGCACACAATTACCAGTATATGGATACACCTTTGTTGTGTGGTTTATTTTCATCGGTAGTCAGAGTGTTTGCACTGAAATTAAATGATGTAGAGTTCAAATCCTGTTCATGCCTGAAGTTGTTAGGTACTCACTCATTTTCATGCATGTAGTTCACATTTATAGAAAATTACGTTTTAGTACTATTTTTTATCATTCGAAGAGATTTTATTTATTTATATATTTATATATTTATTTATTTATTCAATTTCACTGCGATTATATAACAAAGAAAAAAAATCATAAATGATATTACAAAATAATAATAATATTCAGCATAATTGTAATAACCACGTTAATAAAAGAAATCTTAGTACATAACAAGGCAGTGAGGAAGACTAGAAGGGAACTGACGAACCATACGTGCTGGTCAACCCATTATGAAAATAAAACCCATTACAAGTACAAGTTGAATTTATGTTATCATTTTAAATGCTTTTTAACAGTTCTGCTGTAGGAGTTGAGCACTACAGAGTAAGGTACACAGATGATAACAAACTGACAGTTGATGATGATAGCTTCTTTGAAAATCTCACAAAGCTTGTAGAGGTAGGTGACTACTCGTTGATAAGTACTTTACTTGCTTATTATATAATAATTATTATATGCAAGTACAACCTATTAAATACACGTATATATTGCACCCTGATTGTGATGCTAATGATAAGAAAATACAAGAAAGAGAAGTACCAGTCACTTGTTGGAAGGGGGTGCCTATTTGAAGTTAGTGGAAAAAGTAACACCTATGGATGAGTCCTTGTTAAAAGGGGGTGCTTATTGGCAGGGGGAGCTAAATTCAAATTATTACAGAACTGTAATTATTTTAGTTGATCTTTTTCTTAAACTGAATGGCCTTGACAGAACATTGCTTTTCGTTTTGCATCATTAAGGCTAAAGGTTACATGGTGTCACCAGATGGCATCAGTGGCACATTTTTTCAGACTTAAATTCAGGTTTAATGGTGGCTGAAAGTCAGTTTTAAAAGCATCCACTCAAGTGTGGTGTTTTTAATAAAGAAGGGGAAGAAAATTGGAAGTAAGGAAAAAGCAATGCCTTATGTATCAGTTAATTCACTTAGAAAACACTCTGACGAAAAAAACAAACAAACAAACAAACAGAAAACAACTTTTTTTTACTTTGAACGTCAAAACATAAATTATCTTTGCTTGCCCCATCATTATGTCCACAGTTCACACTGGTTCTGTGTTTCTATTGAGTTTTGTACACTATTGTTAACATTATCTATACATTGTAATTTAGGAGTTATTTATCTTTGTAGATATTTTTACCTTATCCGTGTAAAATGTTTATCAGGGCTCAAAAATAGTGCCATCTTGTTGACCACGACAAGTGAATTTTCCTGGGGGCAAGTAACTTTTCATTCTCACTTGCTCGATGGCTAAGGGCTCAGATGAGTCTTCTGCCAACTAAATGAAAAAAGAGCAAACTGAGACTTGCCCAGGTCAAGCAAAATGTGAGAGCTGCTTGTCCAAAGGGCAAGCTGGAATTCAAGTTTTTTACAAGCTCTGTTTATTGTCATGAAACCTGTTGTAAAGCACTATAAGTGATCTTTTTTATTGTAAATAGTGCTATATAAGAAATTATCATTATATTAGTATTAGTATTATTATTATTATCATCATCATTATTGTTATTGTTATCGTTATCGTTATCATTATCATTATGGTTATCATTATCGTTAAATTATTATTATTATCATTACTGTTATAGAAATACAGCTTTTATGGAGCACTTTCTTACAGGGTGTTTTCTAAAACACTTAAATTGTATAACACCATTTCCATTGCTGCCCAGATGCACTATACAGTAAACAAATTTCTCAATCAGTCACCTAGTAAATTTACAAACTAAGATAAAAGAACTTAAAATCTTATTATAGCAACACATGTAATAAAATTTGATTGAAAATTCATTTAAGACCCAAAAACGATAAGCCCCTATTTTAATAAGTAATCAATTTCCTGATGTAGCATTGGCAATGTCAGAAACCACATTTTTTTGCACTGTGTACAGCACTATCAAGATGATGCAGATGGACTCTGTACACGACTAGCAAAACCATTGGAAAAGAAAGGAGGAAAATTTGATTTCTCTGTTGATCCAGACTCCTTTAAAAAAGGTTTGATGCTTGTATCTTTGCATTATACTTTTTTTGGTTTGATTGATTGTTTTTGCCAGGGTGCAACCAGCAACCATTAAATAGTCAAGTGAAGTTTTTCCATTTTCCCGCTTAATAAGTACCAATAATAAGGAGTTGTCTATGAGACTTTGTGCCAATTATAGAACTGTTGGAGTACTTGCTGTGGCTCAGATTACTTTTTGCTCTCAGAGTAAGGATATCAGAAACTCTTAACTAAGGTTCTCTTCAGGAGATCTACTACAAGTCAGCTTTGAATCTTTGTCTCCTGGGTTGTCTGAAAAATGTTTTTAAATGTTGCAGAATTCTACTGGAAACTGTTAACCCATCTTTTCATTCTCGGGCCTACATATACAGTACATGTAAAATATCTGTTCAATGGTGTCTCTTTATTGCCCTGCATACTGGAAATGAATTTCACATTTGACCACTGAATTTGTACTCCTTTGGTCTTCCTTTCTTTAAATTCAAAAAAATTATCATGGAAAGGAAAGTGCCAAAACATTGATTTTAAAGGCTGAAAAAGAAAATTGTATTCATCTCATATGTAAACACTCAACCCTGTTCAACATGCATACATAAATTATTGTTTGATTTATATATATACAGTATGGAAATAACTTCTCTCTGTTGTGAGAAATAGTTAAATCAACCCATATGGTACACAAGTTTCTTGGCTTAGGTTTTTGGTTTCTCTGATTTATATTGTAGAGGGTTGGTCAATTCAGCGCCATGAACTACATCTTGGAAGGTCAATTGGAAAAGGAGAGTTTGGAGGTAAGAACAGTAATGCTTACTAAGACTCTAATGTAAGTGCATGTAATATGATACTGTTCTGGAGAATCTTAAGACATTGGTTATTAGATGCATATATGTGTGTAGCATATGTTTTTTACATCATTGTAAAAATGTGTGAAGAGTTAAGCCTTGGAGCTGAAAGGCTCATAGCTGCTGGAGCTTATCCCGGTTTCTGTAGCATGAAGCGGCTAGGAGTATTTCTACTCCCCCTCGATGGGATGCTAGTCCATTGCAGGTCACTCCCCCGCAATTTGTTAGGTTTCCCCAACAATTCGCCGGTACCCATTTATACTCCTAGGTGGAGAGAGGCACTGTGAGAGTTAAGTGTCTTACCCAAGAACACAACACAATGTCCCCGGCCAGGGCTCGAACCCGGACCACTTAATCCCGGAATGAGCGCACTAACCATGAGGCCACCACGCCTCCCACTTGTAAAAATATGCCTGATATATTATGGCCTGTTCTATCCTATGCTAAAGAACCAAGAAAAGGTAATTTGTAATGATGTGTGGAAGTGTTGCTTGGGCTGATTTTAATGGAAATGTGTACTTCTGAGCAAAGAACTTGTTGAGACCTTAATTTACATTGTCCACAAGATGGGATGGAAACAGGTTTTTCTCGACAAAAGTGTTTGAGCTCCGGTCCTTAGTACTGTGATGGAAACCAGCCCGAAAAGACCAAGAATTTGCATTTCATTTCTGGTTAAATCTTCAGATGTCCTTCAAGCTGAATACAAAGGACAGAAAGTAGCTGTGAAATCACTCTTAGATGACAGCCATGCTGCTCAGACATTCCTAGCAGAAGCTTCTATAATGACGTATGTTGAACCTTAGATGCTGTGAATACAAATTACAATTTAGTGCTTTCTCTAGTAAAATGATCATTTGCCAAACAGAAGATGATATTCCATGTTCTCTAAGAAAGCACTGCATGCTCGAGATCTAGAAAAACTGCCAGTGGACACATGAATGGAATGTGACTGCACTCAGCAATTTTTCTAGATTTCAAAAGTGCACTATTTTTTTTAGAAAACAAAGGAACACCGTCTTCTATTTGGTTGAGAACATAGCATGAAAAAGCGAACATATTTTTTTACGTCAAAGGACTGAGGGGCGGTGATTGATCTTGCAACATGAAATCTAGGACATAATTTCCAGCTGTGCTTCTATAAAAGAATTATGCACACTCAGCTCCTCAATTAATTGGTAATCAATGGGTTATCACTTGATTAATCACTAGTTATTGCAGATGATCAAGGAGTAATTGATGAATAATCAGTAGGCCACAGAATTGTCAGTCATTTCTTGTGTCAATCACTCATTGATTGCAGTTATCAGTCATTGATGACATTGATTAGTGATTGATATAATCTTTTGGCTTCACAAACCATGCAAATCCAAAATAAAGAAATAAAAAAAAAACTCCTGCATGCCATTTCCTTTTTCCCACTGATGGCCAATACATTGTAATAGACAAGAGAGGAGTCTTGGATTCCATTAATTCAGTTTCTTTCCCTGTTTAGAGCTGTTTTCAATTGAGCATCTTAAAACTAAAGCCAACCAATTACTTGCCAACCACTCAGCTAATCTCAAACTGTAGTAAAACCAAAACCAAAACCAAAACCAAAACCAAAGTAACTGCCTAAATTCTTCTGCCTATTATTATCCTCTCAAGCCATACACATAAAGATTTATAACCAGAAAGTCAGTAACCAGTAAATTGTATTATATGTCCAACATACAGTAATAACATATGGTTAATCAGTGAATTAATTCATTGATTACCCATCTACAGGCAATCAGTAGGTAATTGATGTCATGAATGAGTAATTGATAGGCCACATTTTCTTTGGTCATAGATTAGTTATCGATAATTCATTGAAAATGGCCAATAATAAATGACTAATCATTTGATTAGTCATTGATTACCAATCCATTACTCACTGATATCACTGCTTGTTAGTTATGTCTGGATACATGTATACTGTGTGCACTTTTTGTGATTGACAGGAATTTAAGTCATAAGAACCTTGTGAAATTACTTGGTGTGTCACTGGATGGAAATCCTATTTACATTGTAACAGAATTTTGTGGAAAGGTAAGTGATTGAGTTCAAAGGCTGGATCTCTACATGTCTTAGGGTTACTTCCCACCTTCAAGGGCAAAAAAATTGTTTTTTTCTTTTCTTTGACAAAATTTAAGTCAGTCATTTTATCTGAAGTTTACAAAAGAAAAATATTAAAAATCTCAAAAAGCGGCCAAGTTATTTAGAAAAAATGTATTTTTGAATAAAGTTAATCAACCAGGAAGGTGTCGTTATCACTAAGTGGACGAAACCGCCAGGGGAAATTTTTGCGGCAAACGCTCCTCTTGGAGCTGGTATTTCATGTTATTTGGTATTGTTTTTATCGTGCATTTGTTCTTTTGCCTTTGGCTACTTTGTCCGTTTAAGTTTCTTTCTCTTCAATGTGACAACGAGACAGAAAACAGGTTGCAATGTGATGCTTTTCCTGGAAAATCATGTTGCTAAGAGGTCCTGTTGTTCCATTGGTTTGCAGTTTCATAAGGCAAGATAATCTCCTGGCGCGGCATGAGTTGTTTACGAATCTTCACAAGCTAAAATCTCGCATTTGATTTTGGGAGGAATACCTCCACTTTGAGCAAATTTATGGGGTATGCAGATTTGACGGATTTTCGTGACATTTCACCAGAACATACCAGGGATAATGGCAAGCGAAAGTGTGTCGGGAAGTTTGGATACTTAACATATTTTTCCCATGGTGTCCATTTACGCAACACGTCTTGTATATTTTTAGCTACTCCAACTTTAGATGGGGATATCTAGATAACCAATCAGAATATCGAAAAGCCCAACACACTTTGGTTGATGGATGCCTTGTGAATAAGACTGCTCAGCCACTTTGCTTCTGTGGGAGCATCCGATAGCCGATAAATTCAGTAGAAGAACCCTCGGTCGTGTCATGCCTTAGCCGGTCCTGACACTTCCTAAAAGAAAAACTCGCTTAAATTGTATTTTTATCGTAAACTTCATTTATTAAGCTTTCTTCTGATATATAGTTTGTTGGGCTTTTATTGAAACTGGCACGCGTACGATTTTTTTGCCCAAGGACACTTGCGAAGGTGGGAAGTAACCTTAATAGCTAATAATAAGCTGGGCTCTGAGCAGTGTTAATCAACTATTAAGATGATTTCCGCAGAACATTCGAGCAATAATGACAAAAAAGCCTCATGGCATGGTAATATTTTGAATAAAGGTACATGTAGGAAGATCTTATCGAGACCTTAGCTCTCAAGCTGACCCCGCAAGAGAAAATTGAACTTTAAGTTATCCATATTTCTATTAGAGTGGACATTTCACGTTAGTTGAAAACACAATAACCCATTTGCTTTAAGCTTTCTTACGAGGTTTGACATTAAATTTCTCGAGAATGCTTGAAGATTTAATCACGGGGTCACCTAGAGAAATGAATTACAGTGAGATGTCTTAAATAGTATTCCAATTTAAGTTACCGTGCTATGAGTAGATTTTTAGTAAATAATTTTTGTTTTGTTTCCTTGGAAACAAAACGGTATTGTTTTCAGTTCAGTGGTGAACTACTTATATAGTGATTTGTAATATCCAGTCAGAGTAAAGTTCGTAATTGTTAATGAAAATACGGCGGCAAAATTTGCAACATTTCAATGAAACTCTCGTTTCTTGGTATTATCTTACACAAGAAAACTGCAAACTGGACTTGATAGTGATAGTGAAAAAGAAGTATATTTGCGAAGTAGAGACACCGCCACACCACTCAATTTGTCCACTAATGTGATATTTTGAGCCGACGGAAGCAGTCAGTTTTGTTTAGTTCAACAAAGAAATGGTACTCTTTTCCGTTTCAGAGTGATTTATTGACGTAGTGAGTATGAACATTATCAGGGTAAACGCTTGTAATTCACAAGGTAAACATGTTTAGCAAAAATAACTTTTCGAAACTAAATTTTATTTCGTGACACGGAAAGAAAAGGAAATTAAAATGTCATGCAGGTAGAAAAAATTGGCAACTTAAATGTTCCTGAGTCTTACTGAAACGATGTATTCTAGAGAAACGAAGATATCTGTTTCCGTGCTTGATTTAAATGTGACTGAGATCACAACTACGGCGACATAATTTTGGTTAATCAGAACACTTTTCAGGAATAGCAATCCCGTCCCTTTTCTGTGGCTGTTTACGGGAAAAGAACACTCACTTGGTGCATTTGGACGATACGGGAATAACAATCCTGCCCTTTTCTGTGGCTGTTTACGGGAAAAGAACATGCACTTGGTGCGTTTGGATGATACTACAGATACGATGTGGAAGGCAGCTAATTCATCATATTGTAATTTAATTAGTGTTGGTATATTGCAAAATAGGCACAATATGGCTTTTTTTATAAAGGTTTTCTTCATATCGTAGGTGTCAACATTTTCCAGATTTAGCTGAATTTCCCAAATTTTCTGCCACAATTTCAGTAGCTTTACTTCTTAGAGTGCGCTTTTAAAAATATGAAAACTTGTATTTCGACATACCGTGGCATTTCAAGAGCTGGTTTCCATGAAAATGCCGATAGGATTTTTAGTTTAGCTTCACAATATTCAAGCGAAAGTGGAGGAATAATTGCACAACTGTCGTCACACATGAGGTGTCCTTTCTGAAAAGAAAAATATACTGCGTCACTGACAATGAAACATAGAGTACGGCATCGATTCGAAACTGCCTGTCACAGAAATAGAAAAATTATGCGTCAAATGCTTTTGCCTCTTAGCTTTATTTAGCCTCACACACAAAACTTTAAATTTCTGAAAAATTTGGCGGAACTGTGCGGCCCACTTCCCAAAATACTTACCCTATTTAAGACCAAAGTCTGTGATTTTTCTCACCTTTTTATGGCCTGACCCTTAAATTAATACCCTGTTTCAGACCTGCCATAGTTCTCTAGTTCAGAATGATATTAAAGATATTGTGAATGGCTTTAGTTGCTGGTCTTATCGATAATGATGAAAAAAGTAGCTTCTTCTAAAAAACATACCTTATTCAAGACTAGAGTGCAAAAACCATACCCAGTTTGACACCAACATGACCAAAATCGATACTCTACTTCTGACTAAAATGTCATAAAAAAACATGTCCCTCTGATGCTGGACATAGCTGTATAGCCAATATAAGGGAGCACCCCCCCTCCCCTAGGGCAGAGTCAAAGTGAAGTATCACAATTAAATACGTTTCGAAGCACGTTGACTGTAATAACTTATACATGTGTAGACAACTTAAATTAATTGGCCCTTTCTCTTTTACAATAGATTCAGTACTAAACCTCACCTAGCCGAAAAACCCCAGGCTCTGACAACTGAGCAGATCAGTGCGGTGCAAAGCAACGCATTAGCACATATCCCCCTCACCCCAAGACTTCTCATGCACAAGATATCAAAACCCCAGCCTTTCTCAGACTTTGAATACCTTTCCAGAAACAAAACACCATTTCTTTCTGAGAAATAGCTTCTTGTTGCACTTATTGCTTGACCTATGTGCGGAATCCGTCTTAACATGTCAGGAAAACAGCGCAGTCTCAATCACCAGTGTGGGTGATTGGGACTGCACTATTTTAGGTTTGTGCATGTTTTATATTTTATTTTAATGATTATTATTTATTTGTTTGTTTATTTATTTATTTCATGTATTTATGTATTTATTTATTTATTTATTTTACACAGAGCCCATCTTGATAGCAGTGTTTATAATAATATTATTATTACTCTGATGTGTGCAAATGTTTGACTACCCTTATGCAATCAAGCAAAAACTGAACAAGTTACCTGAGAAGTTTACAGCTCTCATTAACTTGCTTGGTAGTCATGGGCGAATGTCAGAAACCTCGCAGCAAACCGTAGTGGTTGGAAAGAGAATGTCGAAGCCTTATGTGCCTTATGGCATAAAGAGATATAGGAGGATAGGATAGGATTAACTTGCTTGGTTGCACATTTTGTTGTAGAGCTATTGAATGTATTTCTTAAGTTCTTTGGTTTGTTTATGATCATCATATGAAGCCTTCCTTTGTTCTCAATTAGTGATTTGATTGGTTAACGTTGTTCTCTCATCTCTCATGTTTTATTTACATTTGGCAATTCTATCTTAGGGAAGTTTAGTTGAATACTTAAGGACTAGGGGCCGGACTGTTATTGGGCAGAAAGATCTTGTAGGGTTTGCTAGGTAAGAATGCTTTATTGTATTGAAAACATAAAATAGGCTACAATAGGTTGGGCATTGTATGCAGTAAGTTGACAAGATTTACTTGGCTCTGCCAAAAATGTCGACAAATTTTATCTCCACCAAATTTTGAATTTGGTAATCACATACGCCCTTGAAAACACCAAAATATTTGATTACCACAAGTGTCAATCATGTTGAAATCATATTTTTTTATTTTCCGGCTTGTTTTGTTGAACCTGTCTCCCTTTTTCTGCTTTTGTCGGGTCTTGAATGCTCTTGGCTTGCCACATTTTTGTTTTGGTCTGTAGCAGTTGTTGTACTGAAACGGTTTGAATATTGAGCCAATCCACAATTACTTGTTCTTGAAGGTGCAACTAGAACAAAGATCTGGGAGCCGTAGAAGTTGTATGGAGTCGCATTCAACCTCTCTAAGCTGGAATAATGGTTGTTATTCGTTGTTCTCTATCTCCACAACTTGATTGCCATGCAAAAATTAAATATTTTGGCAGGCTTCTGCCTGAATGCATAGACTCTAAAACCAAGATCAAATTTACTTCATTGACATTTTCAGTCAGCTTAATGCCTGCAAATTGTAAAATATGACGGTTTAGATGCTTGTCAAAATTTGTCCTGCTCCAAGGCAGGACGACGGCCCCTTTGAAGCTTGGTACGGCTGGGCAAAATTTTAGTAGGAAAGTAAACACTGTGTGCACTAGTAGAATGGAACTGATGACATATATTTTTGCTAAACCTACAAAAATTTGTCTAGTGCATCTGGACCCTTGTGTTGTTCAAGCTGCTTTCTGCCAAGTGATTGTACTTGTTGGCAAAGTGGCCCAGTAGACTGAGAAGACTTTCATGTCAGACTCTCATTGAGCAGTCTGATATGAGTGCTTGTAGCAGTCACTGTGTCAACGGTTTAGCTTAGTTAGAAGTAGTTTATTGGTAGCATCACTGACTGATGTGTATGTTTCCTATATGTTAAATACATTCCTACAAAGGTAAATTATTTTTCATTTTTTTTTTTGCAGGGATATAGCTGCTGGTATGCATTATTTGGAGTCAAAGAATTTGGTTCACAGGTAAAAAATCTTAAATCAAAGTCAAATTATAGATGAAGAGAACATAGAATAGATTAAGTTCTTAACATTGGTAAATATGATAGAGTAAAAAAGTTCCATGGGCACTTTCCATTCAACCAAAAGTTCCAGTTTGCATTTTGGGAGGTTTCCAGTGGTGAATCGAAGAGCATTTACCTGAGTCTTCAGAAAAGAGGACAACCTTGTGTGGTAAATTTAAATGTAAATTATCTGGTGTGCATTTTTTTTTTTAAATTTCAGGGACTTGGCTGCAAGGAATGTTCTTATACATGAAGATGGAACAGCAAAAGTATGCCATGTATTGTAATTATTTGGAACAACCTACTATGATACAATCTGAATCTTTTTGGATAGCCCATGCCTGGACACAATCTCAGTTAGATGCTGATGGCAAATGAATTCCTCTAGTTGTGAAAGACTATTATATATCACTAGCTTGCATTCTTCCAAATGAGTTTTTACTTGGCTTTGCGATTTATGTATGGCTCTACAGTGAGGTTTCGTCTGCTCATTTCTCTGTCATTAGAGAGAACATTGTTAACATTAATTTGGTGAATAAGGCTCATATCTGAAGTTTGTGATTAGCAAGGTGTCCAGGATTTCTGATCTACTTGCCATCGTCATTGTTATCTTAGCCAGTAACATACATTATGTTCGTCCTCAAGATTGTGCTGTCTCTCTGACTATGACTTTCAGTGGGGGCCATTGGGGGTGCCAAAAACTACAATTACCACCAAAAAATTGAGCAAATACGGCAATATCTCCCCCCAAGTTTGGGTATTAATTTTTGGTATTTTGTTTCGATATTTTGTTTTATCCTATTAAGTGTTCTATTTTTGTGGCAGGTGTCAGATTTTGGACTTGCAAGAGAAGCTAACTTCAATTTAGAAGGAGGAAAGTTCCCTATCAAGTGGACTGCACCTGAAGCAATTAAACAAGGGGTAGGATTCATTATTGAGTAAACAAAGACGTTTCCTTTGTTACTATGAGTCATAGAAGCATGAGTGTAAGTCTCAGAGAATTTGAAATTTTGTGGGAACATTAGCTGCAGGCGAGTATTTCCACAACTTTTTCATGTTCATGAATTATATCTAGGTCTGGATGTATTGATTTGGTGTGCACACTCTCTGTTACAAATTCCATGGCTTTAAAACTTTCTTTCCCAATGATTGGTTGTTGTTGTTAGGGTCTTAGGGGCTTCTGTAATCTCATCTGATCCACCCCCTTCGCCAACCTGGAGGTCAAGGGGCTGTCTTGTCCTTTGAACCTTTGAGGGGCTAGGGTCTGGCCAGCGAAGCTTACCTTGACTAGGTGGCATACTCATGGTGACAACATGAGCTTGCTCATAATTGCAATTTGGTGTTTGTGATTATATCTGCAAGGAAACAACCATGGCCAGAGAACAAGGACTGAAAAACTGAGTTAATAATGGTCAGGATGCTAATTGGTGACGTTCATTAATTTTTCAGAGATTTTCTACACAATCTGATGTGTGGAGTTATGGTGTATTATTGTGGGAATTGTTCTCATTTGGTAGAACACCATACCCCAGAGTGGTAAGTAATACAGGATTTATTCTTATGTGACTCAGCAAGGTAATAGGATGATGAGTTTTACTATACTGCACATCACTTGCTCATTAGCTGAGATCAGGGGTTTCAGTAAGGGCCAGGCACTGGGCAAATTGACTAACTGAGGATGATTTGCCCGCCTTGTTTGACCATCTACCGGAACGTTTTTCGTATAAAGAAGTCCAGTTCAAAATGTTTTGCCTGCCTGTGAAAACCAGTGGCCCTCCTGCTGAAAACGTTAATGAAACCCCGTGAGATATTTAGCTAAGTTAGGTTCCAAGAAAAGCTACCATGTCACTCTTTGTTTTTGATGATTTTCACTAAGGCATTAGTATACTGGCATAGTGTTACAGGTTTAGTTGAGAAAGCTATCTGTCAGTGAGCAATGCAGATCTGAAAACAAGTCTGAATTGAACCATCCATTTTATTGGTAAAGCTTGTTTTGCTGTTGTCATTATTGTTGTTTTTGTATGTGGTGGACAGCTGTGAGTTCACACAGGAGAGCACTGAAGTTATTTATCTGTATCACTTTCATTTTTTTCTAGCACATAGATAGTGTAGTTGAGATGATCGAAAGAGGGCATCGTATGGATTGTCCAGAGGGATGCCCTAAACAAGTTTACGATGTAATGAGAGACTGTTGGGACATTGATCCAAGGCAGCGGCCAACATTCCAGACGATATATAGAAAACTAGATGAAGTTTACCGATCATTTGTACCTGTTGGCAACTGAGTCTTGAAAACAGTTATTTACCTTTATACGTACTAAGCCATACCTATGTGGAATTGTGATATGCTTTAAATGCTGATAAAAAAGATCATAATATCAAATTTTCCTTTCTGGGCTAGTAGTGCTGTTTTTCAGTTTACCAGTTGGTAGACTTAATCTATACCACAATTTTCAAAATTCCATTGAAAGTTAGTTAATAAATTTCTTTATGTTTCATTTTCAAAGTAATGTATAAGGATTGTGTCTTACCAGTTAATTGTGGGTTTATGAATGTTTCACAAAATATTGAGTTTTCAAGAGTAACAGTAACCTCTTCATAAGAGAAATACATTTGTTAATCTAGCATTATGTCTCTATTTATCTGTTAAATTTGTTTATGTGTTTTAGACAACTGTAATGTGTAGTTAGGGGAATGTTGCAGTATTCATGGTAAAAATTGTACATGGCTAAAAATATTAAAACCCTTTTTTGCTAGTCCCTTATATTTTTATACCATTTAAAATTAGCTTTAAGAGACCCTCTGCATATTTAAGAAGCATTTTCTTTTGATATTGTCTTCCTTGCATGTTTGGGTAGAAAAGTATATAAGAAATGAGATTGAAACTTCATAGGAATGAAATAATTAGTTATATTTTCTTATTATGATACCCAGAATTGTTAATTCTTTCAATTGTTTTAGGAAATTGTTAAATTTGTTATAATAGTAAGAAGCATGTAAATTATGCATGGGGTCTGTAACATCTTAGTTTTTGTAAAGGGTGTAAAAATGTTCTAATAAAATTTAGATGGAATTTAAATTTTTTAATTCCCCCATCTAAGGAAATGAACATTAATTTTTGTAAGTTTTAGTTCCTCCTCGTGGATGCTGTTTTCAATGCACAAGTGTTTATATGAACAAAAAATAATAACAGTATTCATTTTGATCAATGAAAATGACAGTTAGTAACTATTGGAACTGTTATTTTTGTTGTTATTGTTGTGTTCTGGTTTTGTTACTAAATACTGTAATAAAAAATGTTTCTTCGCTCTAATTTAGCATTATTTTTACATTTTGTAAGTTAACGTGCGAGTTAATGTTTTTCTTCAAGTTACGTAGTCTAGTGCATAATGTTTAAGTGGTACTATGACGAAAATCGCATCTTTCCTAATGAAGCCATTTTAAAACATAAACAAGTAGCCTGCATGAGAAGAAAAATGCTGTTTAGTATTTTCAAATATCTCTTTTTGTTCCAGAGATATTCAAGTTTTTAAAATATGCATATTAGCAAAGTGATGACGTCACACACTCAACCAAATTTTCATCAAATATGATGAAAAACAAAATCTTAGCCAATTTGTATCAGAAATGTTTGATTCTTTGCAGGACGATTCCACTAAATTTGCTCCACAAAACAAGTGTAACAGTTTTGTTACCCTCCCCAATATTAAAGGCATTTCTGGCCACCTTTGGCATTCCATTTTCATATTTACAAATGGTGCCTCATACACATGATCCAGCAAGCATACAAATATGTTAGCTCGAGTTTGTGGCCTCGTTTAACATTTTGCGAGCTGAAAATCACTAACATATTGAAATCAAGTGGGTGGGGACTGGAAAAGAGTGAATTGCCATGGGAACAGAATTTTTTATGGCCGTAGGTGTGTTTCCAGTAGAAGTATTAGCCTACCAAATTTCAATGGTTTGCACTGCAAACTGGTCAAGATAGCTCTATTTATATCCTTGATATAATATTGGGCTGAGTGTATGACGTCATCAGTCATCTCATTTGCATATTTTACACATTTTTCAAACTTAAATATCTCCGGAACTAATGCGGAGATTTGCAAACGGTGAACAGCGTTTTTATTCCTTTATGGAATTCTATGTGATGCACCAAAAAAATCAAGGGGTAAAAATTTTGATCATAGTGCCACTTAAATAGATGAAGGACAAGACTCCATCTTAACTTTTATTTTTGATAAATATAATTAGCATGTACAGAGGCCTTGACCATTCCTACTAAGGAACAGCAGAATTTTCCCATCTTGTATCAATAGGCAGTTTGCATGATGGCATCATTTGACTACAACTACCAGAATCCTTCACTTTTTCTGTTTCCTTTACTAATTAGGGTGATTGTTTTTTAAACCCCACTGGGACTTCAAAATTTGAATAATGAAAAAACAAAAGGAATTCTGGGCGTTGTAGTCAAATGGCGACAATGTGCAAATCTGCTATTAGTGTTGCAAACATCTCTGTTGACATGTAGTCAAGGTTAACAGCTCATGAATAATAATTATTTTTGTCACATGGTACATTTTGATTATTCTTTAGAAGAGAAACTGTACACAGACCCTGAATCAATAAATTTCACAGAACATTTTGCACCTCTCTTTTTGGAAGCCATAAACTTGGTCAAGATATATGGGTTATTGACTAAGTGTGAGGTCAAGATGGCTGGATATTGGCCAAGTTATTTTTTTTGTGTGTTTATTGACTGAGCCAGAGTCGAGGTCCATAAACTTGCCAAAAAATATCCAGTCATGTTGACCGAGCAAGCTTGGTCAATAAAAGATTTATTATATCGCTTTTGGGGAAATTATTCTTGTGGGACACAGCAAGCACGGTGAAATTTTTTTATATTGTCAAATTTTATCAGCAGGACAAGATGCAACTTTTGGTAAAGTTTAAAAAGATTCTGTGTATATGATTCAGAGCCACTTTAAATTTTCAAAGCCCCTTAAGCTGTAAATAAGGATGCTTTTAGCAGGCCATACTGTTGCTATGGTAACCTATTGTGTAACAAAAATGATAACAACGTGCTCACTAATAATTGGGCAGTTTTTTGATACCATGATTTAATCATCAAGTGATAAAGAGTGGTTATTATGACCCATCAAAATCTCACTGCTGGAAACTGTTTTGAGCCACCTTAAGGTGAATACTTCAATTTCCATCTGTAATTGAAACAAGTATAATGAAACAAACGCATGGAAAAATGAGTCTGCAATGTCCTACATTTTGACTTCATAGTGGTCAGTACTGAGAGATCTTAGAGATTTGTAGCGCCATGTTTCTGCTAAACTTGACGCTAAACGCATAGCTCCAGAGTATCCATACCTACCCTGTGAGAGGTCATTGGGAATTCTGAAGGGGTGGGGTTGTCAAACATTAAAGGTGTTAAAGGTATGCTTTTTTAGAGAGGTAGAGGGGGGGTGTTGCAACCATTGCATGACAACCCAATAGACTGCTAGAAAGGTGACTAAACATTTGTTATGCTGACTACAGACTGGTAGAAATTGTTTTCATCTGTAGGGGCCAGGGGGATTGTATTTTAAATGCGGGTAGTCCAGTCAAGGAGAAGGAAGAGTTTAGGGTTTGGACTAGATAGGAGGGGGAAGGGGCCATCAGCCAGAATGTTTTTCAGTAATGATTGTTTAGAGAGTAAAATATACAACTTTTTGTTCTTGTTTTCTTTCATTTACTGGTATTCTAAAGCATTTTGAGGCCTAAGTACAAAATTGCATTACAATCTGTTTAAAAGAAGTAAATAAGTTAATAGCCAAAGACAGCATTGGTTCAGACAAGTATGTGTAAATATGAGGTTTTGCTCTCTTTCCCATCCCCCCTAGATAAGTCTAGCAGTTATGAGCAGCACCAAAGAGTATTGTCTGTCTCCAGTAGGGTGTAAATAGCGGTCTGCAGTCAAATATTGTTTTGTTTTAAAAGACGGCAAACAAGGCAAAAGGGTCAATACAATGCAGAGTTGACCCTTTTGCTTTGTTTGTGTTTTAAGCTGCTGATAACTGCAATAACAGCTATTCTGACTATTTGGTTACTTAGATCCTGTTTTGTGGGTGTGGCTTGAAATTTGTTTCACCCCAAGAGGTACCAATTATTAACTGACACCTCAATAACTTTTAATCAGCCTTTTAATCGCAATGAAGACAATGGTAAATGAGACAAAATTAAGAATCGATCCATTATACTCTGAAACGTATGAAATGAAGCAGCAGGAGAAACAGTCATGGAAAAAAAAATGGAATTTTCCAGGCTGATCAGTTACAATACTTTGTTCTATCACATACAATTATGTGATAGAAGAACCATTTGTTAAAACAGCTAATTGCCTGACTGAGATGTTTGCACCTGTGTGTGTGAAACAGATGGGAGCCAAAATGTTTTCTTCACAGACATTTACATTTGTCATATTTCATTTTAATTCTACAGACTACTAGAATAAACAAATAATTTACATGTATCTATAATAATATCTAGGGATTCCATATAATTAAAATCTTAGTGAATTGTTTCATTTAGGTGAAGTCCCATGTGTTTGAGGTAGAGGGGGATTCGAGACAGACCTGAGATAGGGTTTGATAAATGACTGACAAAAGCAAATCCCAGGGTAAATGAATTGAGTTAGGGATCGCAAGGACTTAAAGATAACTGAGTTTGAGATGACCAGGTTCAACTGTGTGAAGCTGACTGAAATTGAGGAGTGAAAGGGGGAGGAAGTCAAACCAAAAAAATATTCCATAGGGGATATGGTTATCTTCTGGAATTTAACACAATGTACAATGTAATTTATGACTGTGCATGTTGGTTGCAAAAACACCTTCTGGGAGTGTCACTTTCAGTCAGATTTCAAAAGAACTTGTCACTCTAGTGGCCTTAAAATCATATTCAATCAAGGCTATTGAGATCTGGTATAGTATGGAAAGTACATACAATGACATAGTGTTGGGTCTTGCTAAACAAGAAGTGAGTCTCCAAAAAATAGTGGAATCTTTGCTGACATAAACAGTTACAATTTGCGACCTGGGTTTGGGTTTCATACTAATTTGCATTGAGATCGAATCACTCCAACATTTTATAGGGCTTGCAAAACTTAGTTATTGGGTGAAATTTTCACCTCTTGGTGAGATATTGTTAACACTAATGCACTGATGAGCCTGTAAATTCTTTGTAAAGTAAAATATTGCACCACATTAAAAGTATTTTATGCATCAGGCTCAAATTTCTTGGGACAGTTAAATCTTCGTATACCTGTTTGAATATTCAGAGGAGCTTAGCTCAATCAGAGACTGAAGTGCTTGTGAAAATAAGACAAAATAATATGTAAACAAAGATTCCAAGTAAGATTATATCCTATCCTTTCATTGGCAAAGAGACAGCTTGGTAAGAGTGAAATAACCACTGAGTTTCTTAAGTCAACATTTTCTTGGTGAAAATCATGTTACTTGTATAACCTACATGTAAAGAGCTAAGTTATTTGGAGATCCAGAAAAAACCCTGTCTAAAACAGCTCCATGCAATTTTTTTGTAACAGACCGATGACTTTTGAGTTCAACACACAACTTTCTGTATGATTATTATTTATAGCAGGATTTAAAGAAGAATTATCCTGATCTTAACAGATGTATTCCTAAAAGGAATTGTCATACATATGTTTTTCAGGAGCTTGCTTGTGAGCAAGATAGAGAAATCCAATACTAGACAGAGCACTTATAAGGAAAATCACATCAAACCATCGATGGTAAAAATTGAACTGAAGTTCACCTAGTACTTCTGTAATAATCTCTCGGTATTTGCCAGGCATGTTCATCCTCATTAACAAAACTGAGGATACAAAGTACATCCCCATAATTTCAGCCAAAAAGAGGACGATAATGTTCGATGACTTACTGCTTGCCATTGCATTGAAAAACTTTGTCAGTGTAATAAGAAGACCTCTTATTGATGTCACAATTAAAATCCCAATCAAGAAGAACGAGATGTGCTGTGACCAAAAAAGCACATCAAACTTCCATCCAAGATAGTTGACAGTTATTTCAATACCACGTGTTACAGGATCTGTCTTGCCAACACGGTCAAACACAATGTTTACAGTAGAGATGAAAATTTTCCAGATGCAGTATCCTGAAAATATATGCCCGACTAAATCAAAATATTTTCCTTGTAGTGTCTTAGACAACTCCATTCTTTCTTTAGTGTTATGCAGATCTACAATTTCCAGGAACAGTTGTCGACTTAGTTCCTCCAAAGTGTCTACTTCCTTCTGGAGATAGCTTGTGTCAGGTGCACTACTTCCCGTCATACCACTGAGCATGCTCCAAATTCCTATCAATTAAAAAATGGCATACACATAAAGAAGTTGGCAATATCCATATTTAACAAGAAAAACTGAATGTGTTCAGCATGTCAAGTAGTTTATTGCCAGGATGAAACAAAGAAATTAGTGGCATGAAATCAGGGGAAAAATTATATTGTATACAGCAGCTGCTATGGGTATGTCAGTTGCCTTAGCCAATCAGTCTAAAAGGTGAGTGCCTACAATGCTTTTGCCATGAGTATGCTGTCTTATGTAATCATTTTGAATAGACACCACGGTCAGAAATAAAGACCGAAATAAATATTAGAAGCATTAACTCTCAGGAGACATGATCCCTCCCTCACCCTCTACTGCCACCCACAACAAGCACTTGAGCTGAGAAATCATAAGCCCCTATGCTCTTGGCTTGTGAGGAAAAAATCCAACACATAATTATTAGGTTTCACTAAGTACTGATATATAATCTAAATTATGTTGGTACACTCAATCAAAGCTCTTAACCAACAAGCACATTGTATATGTCTGGTGCCTCTGAAATTTGAGTAAGCCAATCAGCATTCAGCAGAAACTGCCTGTCCCATGTCACCTTTTTGTATTTCCACTTCCCCCTGGATGGGATGCTAGTCCATTGCTGGGTTACCCCCTAGAATTAAATTGGCCAATGCCCATTTATTTATTTTAGCTATAAAGAGGATGTTTAAAATTCTTGATACCACCCCCTCCTCACCTCCCTGGGTGGCTGATAACTTAGTAATTGGCTGAAGGAGCACCTAACCTGTCTTTTGCTGTGTTGTTGCAGCAAATCGCTGGCTTTCCCTCTTTGCAAGTGCGATTCTCTTTTTCTTACTGAGGATAATATCCATTGTTTGAAACTGCCTCCTCTCGAGATTTTGAATGTCTGCATCAGTCACGTGCCTCATAAAGTATGTCATGTAGGTATAAGGACAGTTCACTGCACCAAATCCAGATAATATGGCCATCATTGTGACACCTATCACGCCAACCCGGCTGATTCCTTGCTCGATAGAGAATATCCCATGCTTAGAACTCAAAATTGGAAAGGGATTACCTATTTTCCAAAACATATACAGAAATGCAATCCAAAAGGCTCCTGCCAACAACGCTACAGTTCTCCTTCGGTGAATAAATCGCAGTGTCTTGACCAGGAAATAAGCTATGTAAAAGGGAAGGAGGAAGATTAAAGTAAACAGCATGGAATAAAGTCCGAGCTTCCAGTGAAAGAATCTCGAACTCTTCTCTAGAATTCCCAAAATCTCGAAAATGACCAGCTCGAACATCGTGCACGACAAAGAAAATGTCAAAGAGAAAACCAGCTGAACGGCCATGTGGTGAACTTCATAGTTCCTAAATAATCTTCTCATGAAGAACATCCAACCCATTCCAAAGAAGAAGAACTGTGAGCAAAAAACAACGGTGCAATCCGCGAAAAACGACATTTTCACTAAGCATTTGCCACGTCTCGCGACGCTTACGATACCTTCCGATATAAAGCGAAGCCTGTACGAAGATCCACCGATGGTTGCGGAGACTCATCAGAAAGTGTGACGTAAGTGACAGAAATTTCTGAATACCAAATTGACCAATCAGAATCCAGAGTGGGCATTTCAAATACTGTCGTCCACCACGCGTTGGTCATTTCACGAACAACTCATCGATCACATCTTCAATAGGAAGCTTGGACTGTTGTCAAATCCCTGTATTTAACAGCTTTTGTGCACGTTTTACTTTTTATCAAACCTTGTTGAAGTTTTGTCTCTCAAATATTGTGCGAACATGATGGCAGCCGTTGGACGATTGGGAAACGTAAGTCTTTTTGAGAATTTGAACTTTAACATGTCGTTGCTTTGAAAATGTTGGTAGTGAATTAATGAGTTAATGCATTTTATGCTCAGTTCGAACTTGGTTGAAATAACGTTCCAAATGTCTCACTCCCAAAACAGGTTATCCGCCAAGACCAGGAAAATGAGCACTTGTTGGCTGCGAAAGCTAAACTTGCTAAGAACTCGAGACCTCGTGCAGCTCTTGGCGACTTGGGAAACAAACCTGCAGCCCTCACGAGCAAGGTAAAAGGGAGCCCTCTGCAAGATTTTTAGGTTCAGTCGAGAGGCATATAAGCCTTAAACTCGTTGAAATGTTATTGAATGCATTTATTCTTCTTTTAGACCGCAGGAAACCTTGGCGCTGGCGCTAAACCTAAAAGAACTTTGCACAGAGCCGAAGGAACGGCGGGCTTGTTGTCGAAGCAAACGAAAGATCATGACGCTAAACAACAGAAAAAGACCATTGATATGGATACCATTGGAGAAGCGTTGCAATTTTGTGTCTCAACCGCCAGACCTGCAAATGTCGCAGATATCGACAAGGAAGACCACTCTAATCCACAACTGTGTGCCGAATATGTGCAAGAAATTTATCAGTACATGCACAAACTGGAGGTGAGAGTACGTTTCCTCGCTAGCTTTTGTTTCTAAAACTGCATAATCTTGATATTTGGCCACTGCATTCAGAATCTACTACGCTGCTTCTAAATTTCCTTGTAGTACCATGCGATTTCTCGTTGTTGATGATATTTCTTTGTCACTTTTCTATTTAGTGTGAATTCCACGTCTCACCAAGATATATGAGCCAAAGAACCGAAATCAAGGAAGGAATGAGAGCCATTCTGGTTGACTGGCTGATACAGGTCCACAATCGATTCCGTCTGTTGCAGGAAACTCTCTATATCACTATATCCATTGTGGATAGATTTCTCTCAGTAAGTGGATTGAATTGTAAATTCTGGTTTCTTAATGTTGGTGCACTCCTTTTTGCCAGTTGAGTTGGGTGTTTCTTGGGAATAACTGCTTTCATGTTCACCCGTGCATGAAACCAAAGTCGATTTTCTTTCAAGATAGAGGAACAGTTCTCTAATAAACAGCGCCTGATCTGAAAAGGGGCTATAAAAAGTTGTAAAGATTTCAATATTTTTTACCTGTGCCTTTCAATGATGCAAACTCCGAAGTTCAAACAAAAAACTAAAATGGCAAATTTTGCTCATCATTTATACAAGGGCAAACAATGAACCCCGAAAAAGTATTAAACAAAATGGATCTAAACCTTCCAATCACAACCCACTGTACTGTCCTTGTGAACTTGAAGTGGAGGTCTGTAAAGATGATAAACAGCAGCAAAAACCACAACAGCAAAACACTTAATGGAGTTCGAGTGTTATCAAAAGGTGCAGTAAATGGAGAAGACAGTTTCCTCAAACCATTTATATTCTGGATTTGTCAAAGTCCATTTGAGCTCCATTCAAAATTATTCAAACTACAATAATAATTATTGCAGACCAAATTATTGGTTGATGTATTTTCCTTTCGTTTTCATTGGTAAAGAGCCCACCATGTGTTTGTAACCTTGTGTGGAAAATGGCACTTTGACCTGTCAGAGAGTGGTTTAGATATGAAAACAAACTTGGTGATCGAATATTAAATCAATTATTGAACTCTAAGATCCCAAAATCTTGTGATTTGTCAGTGTCTAGATCAATTATTTGCCTTGGCCTGCTTAGGCAAATAACTGATCTGCTTGCCACTGACAATTCACAATATTTTGCTCAACCTCGTCCAATTAATTACCAGTAGTATTTCTCCATTTGTACATAAAACACAATGGAGGAAATTGATCACACTATTGCTATAACTTTGTCCTGACCAGTAATAATTAATTATCCCTTATAGGTTTACGATGTCACTAAGAAAGACCTTCAGTTAGCTGGTGTTAGCGCTATGCTATTAGCCTCAAAATATGAAGAAATGTATTGCCCAGAAATTAGTGACTTCGTTTACATCACAGACAACACATACAGCAAAGGCGAAATCAGGAAAATGGAGGCTCTCATCTTTAAGCATTTGAATTTCAGTGTAGGAAAACCTCTTTGTCTTCATTTCCTAAGAAGAAATTCCAAAGCTGCTGAAGTAAGTAATGTTCAAATAATATACAGTAATTAGATATTTTATGTTTGATTACCATTTGGTATTCCCCTTCTGTTGCCTTTTAAAAGTATGCCGTGACAATTTTTGTATTGCATTTTCTTAATGAAATAATGTGAAGCAACTATGTCACTGGTGGCTGAGAAAGCATCTCCCTAGCTTCTTAGAATTTGACCTCTGCCAGCTTTCATGGGAGAGTTAAACCTATTGTCTTTGCTTTGTTTTGTTTCTTTCGTTTTGTGTTGTTGTTTTTTTTCATATGTCCACCTACATGACGACATCTTTTAACAGGAAATTTGCTTTGGTCATGTCATTGTTCCTGAATTTGACCTGCTGTATTTGTGGCCATATTTCTCTTTCTGTGGTTTAGGTTGATGGTGTAAAACACACCATGGCAAAATACTTTATGGAGCTATCCCTGGTGGACTATGCATGCATAGCATTTCTTCCTTCTGAGATTGCAGCGGCATCTTTATATATTGCAATGAAAGCAGATGATGGTTTAGAATGGACACCCACAATGGAGTACTACAGTATGTACTCTGAAAGTAAACTGCAACCTTGTGCTAGAAGAATTGCCGTCCTTATCACAAAGACACTTGATGGAACGGCAAAACAAAAGGTAAGAGAACAAGAGTTCCAGATAAGTTTTCAATGTAGGGTGTCAATAAGGAATTCTAATGAGTCTACTAACACTGCTTCCATCGTAAATATCCAGTTAATTTGTCAGGTTATGTTTTGAGACCCCTCCCTTATCTGGAATACTGAATCAAGGATAACTAGCTCATCAGAAGGCACTAGGCTTATACTAGGCTTTTGTATATTCTTGGGTTAGCCACTCTAAAGTGAGAAACAAAAATCATAGAATATAATGAAGAAGAAGATTGAAGTCTATAAAAGAGTTATCAGATATTTCCTCAGAGTTAAGATAGGGATAAAGATAAAGTGCTGAAAAGGTTTAAAATTCAGGGTTTAAACAATCATGCTTTTATTCACAATTTTAATGTCTGCATGGCACTGCNTCATTGTTCCTGAATTTGACCTGCTGTATTTGTGGCCATATTTCTCTTTCTGTGGTTTAGGTTGATGGTGTAAAACACACCATGGCAAAATACTTTATGGAGCTATCCCTGGTGGACTATGCATGCATAGCATTTCTTCCTTCTGAGATTGCAGCGGCATCTTTATATATTGCAATGAAAGCAGATGATGGTTTAGAATGGACACCCACAATGGAGTACTACAGTATGTACTCTGAAAGTAAACTGCAACCTTGTGCTAGAAGAATTGCCCTCCTTATCACAAAGACACTTGATGGAACGGCAAAACAAAAGGTAAGAGAACCAGAGTTCCAGATAAGTTTTCAATGTAGGGTGTCAATAAGGAATTCTAATGGGTCTACTAACACTGCTTCCATCATAAATATTCAGTTAATTTGTCAGGTTATGTTTTCAGATCCATCCCTTAACTGGAATACTGAATCAAGGATAACTAGCTCATCAGAAGGCACTAGGCTTATACTAGGCTTGTGTATATTCTTGGATTAGCCACTCTAAAGTGAGAAACAAAAATCATAGAATATAATGAAGAAGATTGAAGTCTATGAAAAAAGTTGTCAGATATTTCCTGAGAGTTAAGATAGGGATAAAGATAAAGTGCTAAAAAGGTTTGAAATTCAGGGTTTAAACAATCATGCTTTTACTCACAATTTTAATGTCTGCATGGCACTGCACATCGTATTTTGTACCAGTAATTCATGTGCCTTCCACCCTNGTTATCAGATATTTCCTCAGAGTTAAGATAGGGATAAAGATAAAGTGCTGAAAAGGTTTAAAATTCAGGGTTTAAACAATCATGCTTTTATTCACAATTTTAATGTCTGCATGGCACTGCGCATCGTATTTTGTACCAGTAATTCATGTGCCTTCCCACGGTGATAATTCTTCTTACGCTTTAACTGAACTATTGCTGTACATAACAAGATTTACTGTATTCTTTTAATTTTGCAGGCTGTCTACAATAAATTTGCCAGTCCCAAGTTTATGGAAGTTAGCAAAATGGAATGTCTGAGATCATCTTTTGTGAGAAATCTTGCATCACAAGAGTTGCAATAGATTAGCATTGTTGGAATATTTATATTCCCTTAAAATAGCTACTGGTACATATATGTCAAATTTACACTAGAATCTGAAGTACATTGACCATTGTGTTGGTTCAGTTACCTTATTACACTGACCAAGTTAAAGTATTGAAACTCAACTACCAGCCAAGGGTGGTACATGTATCACTTCCTTTACTTAAGTTTGATTTTCTGTCAAAAAGTTGTCTGTGACAATTGTGACATTATTTTCCCATGTAATGTAGCAGCACTGATTACTGCCAACAAGTCTCTTGTTCATTTGATCTTTAAGCTCCTTTGCAACATTGTAAATACATGCATACAGTTGTCTTAAAAAGTTTGACAGAGCTAGTCTAGAAAATGTGTACTCTGTGGAGAACATTCCAAAATGTGCTTGAAAATTCTGTGTAATGTGATCCATATTTTGGGTTGGAAGAAATGCACTTTGGGAATATTAAATCAATTATANATCTTTTGTGAGAAATCTTGCATCACAAGAGTTGCAATAGATTAGCATTGTTGGAATATTTATATTCCCTTAAAATAGCTACTGGTACATATATGTCAAAGTTACACTAGAATCTGAAGTACATTGACCATTGTGTTGGTTCAGTTATCTTATTACACTGACCAAGTTAAAGTATTGAAACTCAACTGCCAGCCAAGGGTGGTACATGTATCACTTCCTTTACTTAAGTTTGATTTTCTGTCAAAAGGTTGTCTGTGACAATTGTGACATTATTTACCCATGTAATGTAGCAACACTGATTACTGCCAACAAGTCTCTTGTTCATTTGATCTTTCAGCTCCTTTGCAACATTGTAAATACATGCATACAGTTGTCTTAAAAAGTTTGACAGAACTAGTCTAGAAAATGTACTCTGTGGAGAACATTCCAAAATGTGCTTGAAAATTCTGTGTAATGTGATCCATATATTGGGTTGGAAGAAATGCACTTTGGGAATATTAAATCAATTATAATTTATGTTCATTTTTACAATTTGTTAGATTTATTAAATATTAATTCTTTATTGCTAAATTTTCATTTTGAATATTACTGTAAATTATGTAAATATTATAGCATTTTGTAAAGCTTAGCTCTAGTTTTTGTCACAATAAACACTCCTCTTTTACCATTTTTTTGGACTTGAGTTTTGGAAATATTTTTACAACCCTACACTCAATATTATCTTTGAGCATCCAGTAATGTCTCCTGAGTTTTGTAATTATACATAGCATCCATTGAATATCAGTCATTTGACCATGCTTCTTGGGTGTGAGAAAATTGTAGGCAACTTATTGTCGGCCCTAATCTGGAGAGCATTCTTTTAAAAACAATTTCACTCTGAATCAGTTTGCCTGATGAAAGGGACTTCCCAGTAAATACCACTGAAGGCTGGAAGAAACATTTGATCTAACTGATCTCAACAATGAAAAAGGAAACTTCTCGGTCTTGCTAATGCTGGAAAGAACAGCTGTGAGGGAGTCTGCCACCATAACTGACATTTCTATTTAGTTACAGAGAATTTTATTTTTACTGGGGAGAAGTCGGGAATTTTGGAATGTAAGGTCTGACAACCATGTTGATTTTCTCATGCAACACAAACACAGCATCAGGAGCAGGCATCTTGTTTGTGATCTGAGAACGATTGACCATTGAAGCCTAGGAACTAGGCAAATATAGTTTCCATATGCTTGTGTTTGTGATTCTGTCGTACATGATGTCAATTCACTTGGCTACAGTTTAGACAATGTAAACATTCAGTGAGTGAACCTTTCTCGGTTAAAAAAAGAACAACTTTAATGCAAGGGCACAATAAACAAAGTGATCATTGCTGACTAGGGGTTTCATTAAGGGCTGGACAGTGGGCAAATTAGCCAGTTGTGGTAACGATTTTGCCTGCCTGGTTTAATTTGACCATCTAAATGAAACTTTTTCTTAAAAAGAAGTTCAGTTCAAAACATTTTGCCTGCCTCGAACCCCAGTTGCCCTCCTGCTGAAAATGTTAATGCAAACTCAGGACTGTAACTTGGTTTTTACAGTTATAAACTACTAAACATAAATAATTAAGAAAGAATAGCTTGGAAGGAAAACAGATACCTGCTGCTTGCTAACTAACAGTCCTGTGTTATTGTTTGCATGAAAAGCAGCTTTATCTGAATACCAAACAAATTAAAATACCCACCAAAAAAAAACAAACTGCATTTGTGAGATTTCCTGTCAATATCAATCTCTGAAACTGCCATAATTCCACTGTCTCTTACTCTTTCTTCATTTACTCTTTTTGTATGTATGTATTTTCCATGCCCAGGTTGAACTCCTATTTCTTATTGCCACTTAGCCTCAAGAACTTCATGGTGGGTGAATCATACTTTGAAATTCAGGGTTACACCATGACTGCATAGCAGCATTTAAGACAAGACAGATGTGTTGAGGAAAAGATTTATTCTCTCTAAATAGTTTAAGGTTCACAAAACAATATTTAATGGAGCACAAGAGTAATGGAATGCTTAAAGTAGTGGGCTTCTTGTCACAGGTACAGAACGTTTAGCTTTCTTCTGCTTCCATAGATTCCCCTCCAGGTTGTTGCTCGCCTGCATCACCTTCACCAGCCGCCTGGTATGAAACAACATCAATAATATTAATACTGCGACAAACCAGGCAGATCCGTAAACAAAAAAATTTCGAAACTAAAGCACAAGAAAGTATATTTTAATATACATTTAAAAATGTTATTGGTGACCAGCAATCCAGTCTGCTTCCTAGATTATTCTACATTCCTAAACCTTGTTTTACTAGAAGGACCAGAACACATTAAAATCTATCATTTCCTACAGGATGAAAGAATATTGCTATGTATCAACAAGGAGAATTTGTATTTCCAGCTTGAGACTCAGATCATGTGTACAAGTGGATCTAGTGTGTTTGGGGGAGGGGGGTTGGTTGAACCCCCTAAAGTAAAAAATTAATTATAATAATAAATAAGAGACATTATAACATGCTGACTTGGCCTCAGGATGCCAGAAATCCCATTTCCAAGGACCTCAATTTTAAAAATTTTCCAGGGATCCAAGGACCCCCTAAAGGGAACTGGTAAATTATCTGTTTCACTAATCCCCTTCTCAAAAATCCTGTACTGTATCTGCCCCAAATAAGCTTACCTGTGCTTCTCCTTCCATCTCTACATCAGCAGTCTAAAGTGACAAATGTATATCTTGTAAATAATAGTTTATATAATCAAACTAGGTAGACAACTGATCTTTGCTATGGGTCTTTTATGATAAAAAAAAATGTGATAAATTATATGTTGTCTCGAACTGTGTGACGATTTCAAGGTCAAGATCTGATTGGTAAGTCAGACTCGTCATGGGAGAGGACAAAAATAACCAGCCACAAAGTAATTAAATAGATTTCACACCCATGGGGGATCTGCACCCTTGCATTATACTGCAAGGGCAAGAACATCAAAGCATTGTTTAAGGTCCTCAAGAGTTGCTTGCTGAAATGTATCTCTGGGTATTTTCTAAATTTATTGACTGAATATCAAATGCAAAGATCGTTACCTCTTCCCCTCTACGCCTCTTTGTTTGATCAATTCCAGCCAACTATGTATAGTTAAGGTTACAACAGCACTTGATGACTGTTTTAGTGATGTATATAGCACAGAGTCTGTGACTATCATTCAAATTGAAAATTTGACACTACTTTCCCCAAGCTTTCACTTAACATTTAGAAATAAATAATTCCTTGTTGGACCATTTTTTAATCAACAGAACTTCTTAAACAATATACTTGTGAACTTCAAATGTTCTTAGTCTAGTTTTTAGTTTTATCTTTCTTATTTCTAATTTTGTTCTTATTTTTCTAATTTGTTTATTTATTTATCTATTTATTTATTTAATGTAAATAGATTGCTGCCATAAAGACAAATGGTGTCCACGATGATGTCATGTGTCTGTATTATACATAGCCTCATTCTCGTCCTCAAAGGATGTGCTTCTTTTGGTCAGCACCAAGAATCACGACCTCTGGCTTGACCTGATTTTCTGAGCTTGTGCAGAGTATTCATTTCGTATTCTCAACGAATCGGATTTGTCAGATTTAACGGGAAGTCCGTGAATTGTGGACTTCCAGTGTCAGACTTCCGGAAGCACGGCCTCTGGGGACGAGAATGACATAGTCTGTGTACAGCCACCTGCTCTCCTCAAGAAAATTTGGAGAGAGGAGAGGAGAGCGGGCAACTGTAATAGTAGTAGTAAGCAATCCCTCGATATCAAGTAGGATGTCTACTTGGTAGTGTTTAGTACTTTAGTTTCTGAGTTCTTTCTTGATGACTAAGCAGTCTGATTCTCAAACGGCAGATTCACAGACAGATAGGGCATCTGAACTCTGTAGAGACTGGAGCTGTACTGTTCATAGCCTATACTATAAAGTGTCCTTCCATAAATTAATAGTGCGTTTACAACAGAGGTATCGAGAAGAGCTTTCTGATTTCTCAAACATTTTTCCATGGAAAAAATAATAAATGTTTAAAAATAATTGATTGTGAGTTTATTTTGATTTTGCATTTGGCAAACTAACACGAACCCCACTTGAAGTGCCTGCCAGAAATCAGTATAAAAGGATACATAAGGGGCCACAGCTTCATCACTGTGAATGACCAGATCCTGATCCTTACCAACAACACCAATGGAACAATTCTGCAATAAAACGATGTTCTTCAGTGTTAAGTTACCACTACATTCATTAATAATTATGATAACTTAACTGTCTAAGAACAGATCACATAAAGAAGAGATATTTTAAACATACATGTGTAAGTTCTAAATATAAGGGTCCTGTAGAGTACTCCAATGTATATAAATGTATTTGACAGTACCTTTGTAGTTAGTTCCTGTTCGTTAGGGAGAGTCTCTCTCAATGCTCTTAAGCCATGTTTAATGAGTTCTTCAGGCTCACCTTCAAATGAAGAAAAAAATCATCAACATTTACATGATTATGGTAAGGCTCAACACTCTGGAGAAAGGCAGTTTTTACATAAAATTGTTTTCAAGCAGTAAAACTTAAAAGAAGAGTTCAAAGATGCCTTATTTAGGCATCTCAGTCCCAAAGATATCAGCTTTAATAGAAGCTAAGACTAGACTTAAATTAAAATTGTTCTTTAAACAATTTAGACCAGAAAGCATGTGAAAATATATTGATCGTTCAGCAAGTTGATCAGTCTTGCCATTCTTGCCTTTTATCTCACAAACCATTTTCTTTATATTTCTTTGTTTTAGCTTTAGTCTGTGACAGTCTACTTAATAAATAAAATACCCTTTCAAAATAGTTGAACTTAATCACGCCTGCACCTCTTATTAAATACCTCCAAAACAAACATTCCAATATATATAACCACCTTTGCCTGCTTTCAATTTTTAAACAGACCAATTTATAGTAATAATAACTGTTCTAACAACTTACCAAACACAATTTATGTTTTTAAATTAAGTAATGAAAGTAATCAGTAAGTTTCAACCTAAAGTATAAAATTATTTGGTATTAGCTTCACTTCACTCACAGTCTGGAAATTCATCCAAGTGTCTTTCAAGGTATGTCCTTGCAGACTGCAAAAGAATTTAAACAAAATAGATACAAAAAGTCTTAACTAATGTATAACAAAACTCCATGAAGAACAATGTTGATTTGGTTTTTAAGTGTTCAGTTCATAACCCTGGTTGTTTCAAGATTACAATGAACGCTGAATCAAGTCCTGACCTACAAAGTATAGTCTCGAGGTTTGACATCTATACTAGTGTGCGGCTGTCATTGTGTAATTTTTAATAATTTGTTATTTAGTACACAATCTCAATTAGATGTTTTAGTCCTCACGATGTAATCTTGAATTTGCAGTGAAAGTGTGTCTTAAATGAAACAATGTTTAATATGGTTGTTAACACCTTCTCTAACAACTTAAGAGATTGTATTATCTGAGTGAACATTAGTCCTTATCTATTTTATTTGCATTTTGCCTAGCGTCTTTTAGTCTCAACATATTTACTGAGGGGCTGAGTAAATTGATCTGCCCATTTAGCATTGAAGAGATTTTTTAGACTGTGGCACTTGGATTAAACCTTGAGTGACCTCATCAGTGGATTGCAGAGGGGTGTGGATCACATAAAACTGAATGGCACTTGTCTTTCAAATAACAAAGCCAGTCTCTTAAATGTATGTTCACAACTGACCTGTGACCTGGCACCAATGGCCATTGCTTTACAATCAAAATAATTAGCTGAAGGACAAGTCTGATAAATGTGAGGACCCATATCCTGTCAACCAATAAAACATTAAACATAACTATAAATAATTATTTAGTGGATAATTAACCCTAAAGTAATATGCAAGCTATAGCTAGCGTGACTTGGGGAGCATGCTTTCTAATACTTGTCCACCTTCTCAAATGTATGTGAACTTGAAGAATCCATGCTAAACAGTGACCTTTTCTCAATCTGCCTACCAAAGTGACTTCTTGTTAAAGCATCAAAACTGAGCAACAACTCAAAAGAAACTGACACAGAAAACCCGTGAGGGCCATGGATGGGTTCAACTGGACAAGATTGAAAAACATTGGCCTCACTTTTTTCAAGGTTATCCCTGGCCAATTTTTATCAAAGTGTCGGTTATAACAGGAGGAAATCATCCTTGTTAGGTAACTATGATTTTGCCAATAGAAGGGTGTTGCTTTGCAAATTTGAAGTTTAGAGCTTGTAATTACAAAATAACCAATATCACCTAATATTGCAACCTAGCCCCTTTAAAGGAGGTGTAAATCCTCAGTCACAGGAAACACACACAATCTTATTCCATTCTCTGCTATACTTGGATGATATAAGAGGAATAACTTAGACTAAGTAGCACCAACTACTCACATCATATCCAGCAACAAGAAGACCAACTCCATAAGGTCGTCTGCCATACCGCTGTGTTGGAATTTGCATTTCTGGTATTTGTGGTCAAGAAATGTTATGATGCTATGATGTATAATGTACCAGACTGGTGCATCACATTTGCAAACTGTGTATAAATTTATAATTGCAAAGAAGGCCAACAAAAAGNATGCCATCTGGGCTCTCAGCAGTACAGTTAAACGTTCCAAAGTCATCTTCGGTTGTATCATTGACGGTATAGGATGCTGTGCTATTTCCTCGTGAAATCTCTGTTCCATTTTCATCTCTCATGATCACTGTGGGCACTGGGTATCCAAAAAAGGTACATAGGACATCAACAGATTTCCTGTTTCCCACAAAAGAGTATACTGGTGTAGGGGATGCATCCTCATTAATCTGGGGTGGAGCTGAAAGATGAAACAAATAGCTGTAAATACTGCATCACTTTTACAAGCATTTAGTATGCAACAAAATCATCACAACGACAGCAAAATAAATTTCTGAAAAATGTGGGATTTTTTTCAGTTGTTTGAAAACACCTGCAAGGATTTATATGCTTACAATACGAATACTTACTTGTGATCTCTACATGTATTTAGACAGCGTTGCTTTATACAATTTTGATTACCGCGTGTTGCGTAGTTGTTTCGTATGAGGCTATCTAGTCACAGACAATGAGGTATTACTCCAGTTTGTTGGCTTGATTTTACAGGAGGAATGACTGAAATGGCTCAATTTGTTTCAATAATCTTAAACATATAGCTTAGCATTTCTAACAGTAACAAAAGCCCTTCTTAAATCGACCATTAAGCTGTCAGCCAGTGTGCATGGAAATTTTTTTCCGGACATTAGTTATGACAAAATTCAATTAGTGCATCACAAAACTTACATCTCACAAAGAGGTTAATTGTTTTCTCAACCTCAATAACATCGCCGTTTCCATCAAGGGCACCATTTGTTGCTTGACAAGCGTATTCTCCAGTGTTTACCAAGTGGACACTTGTGAATGATATTTGTGCAACTTTCTTTTCACCACGTGTGAACGTCTGTGAAGGAACAAACAACTTGAAAAATTAGCTTTAAACTGAATATAGCGCAAAGAAGAAGTCAAGCATCATTATATCTAGTTTCCAGCGAGTGGTTTGTACTTGTGACACACGAGGTACTGTGCCTGCATCATTGCCGAGAGATGAAAACTTTCTTATGTAGATACTCTTTAAAGATTACCTTTTGTCCAGTGTAGTAACGTCCACGATAGTACCATTCCACAGTTGGAGTTGGCGTTCCTGCGGCAACGCATTCCAAGTCCACTTTATCACCAACATTTGCTATTATGTCTGTCAATGGATCAATTGTTGGTGAAACTGAAAAACAGAAAGTTAGTATAATTGTATTATTTCTGTCATGAGCACAACACACATTGTGTACACCGCCTTAGAACTTTAGGATCATGTGCGCTATTATTATTATTTACGCTATCAGCCTATTGTTAGTTTTTTTTATTTATTTCATGTACTCATTTCTTCCCCACAAGTGATGTAGCTTCGCTGGGGTCTGCCTCGTGTGCGAGCCAGGGAGTGGTGCGAGTCCCAGTGTCAGCCATGCGAGCCACGGTTTTAACGTGAAAAGAATATTAAATAACGCTTTATATGTTTACTCGTTGTTTGTATTTTTGACTCAAAATACAAAATACGACACAACTTGTAAAAATATTCAGCGATACTACACACCAAAATATCTAATAAGATATATATATAAATAACGCTGTATTTTAAACTAACGCTGTATTTTGATAATCCATGATACGAGTTACACTAGCTACATGTAGCGACGGTTTTAATTTCGTAGGTGATTCTAAAACGTGAATATATTTAAGTGCGTGACTGTATTTATTTCGTGTTATTTATTTATTTAGTTTTTTTAAGATCTTGAAGATTATTTTTTGAAAGGAGAGCAAATTTCGAAGGAAACTACCGTCGAAGATGTGTGTTGGTAGTAAAACGATTTATCCTACTGGCATAAATCAAGGTTCAGATAACATCAATATTGTATAGATTACATAACACTATCGAAGTCACGCATTCTCTATAGTCTTCAGAACGCGGTGGAGACAGAGACGTTCTTTGTTGTTCTTTGTGTTCTTGTTATTGTTGCCGCTGTTCACAGCTTGTTCACAATTTCCCTACAATTTTAAAAATTACAGTAGAATCCCGATTTTTTGGAACCCCGGTTTCTTTAAACCTTCAATTATTCGAAGCAATCTTTTGGTCCCATTAGCAAAAGAGAGCCAAAAAAAGTTAGGAGAAATTTACCCATCCCTATATATCTCGAACCATTTTTCGTTTCTCTGGGAGGTTCGAGAAATTGGGAATCCATTGTATAACTCGAACTTACTTACTCTCTTGACTAATTTTTAGCTTTATTTTATTTAGTTAGTTACGTACTAGCAAGGTGAGTGTCTTGCTTTGCAGAGTATTGAAATATCTCGTTTTAAGTACGGTACGATATATCTTATATGCATACTAATTTTTTATTTTATTTGTTTATTTTTTTATTTTTCACTTTTCATTTTTCATGACTCGCATGACTCGCATGGCTCGCTGGCTCGCACATTAGTAAAACTCGCCTCGCTGTNCCATTTTTCGTTTCCCTGGGAGGTTCGAGAAATCGGGAATCCATTGTATATACAACTCGAACTGACTTACTCTCTTGACTATTTTTTAGGTTTATTTTATTTAGTTAGTTGGTTACGTACTAGCAAGGTGAGTGTCTTGCTTTGCAGAGTGTTGATACTTCTGTTAATACTTCTGTATTGTCCTGTAAGGACCTTCTGTTGTGGCTTGCATATTACCCTCTGATAATTCTTTCTTACAGGTGGCGCATTTAGCGTCTTTTTTAGATGTTCTTTTGTTTATTGTATATTTTTGTTCATCCTCTGGGGGACAAGTCACTTTAGATAGTGGGACGTTTTCTGGGAATGTCTCAATTATTTTTTTCCACTGTTGATCAGTGAATTTTAGCTGGTACATAATCGGCTGCTCTTTATCAAATTTGAACAGATTGTGGAAAATCCACATCAGATGGTGACATTCCTTTCTGCACCAAGCAGATGAACAGATGGAAGATTCCTTTTTGAGGCAAGTCTCTTCTAGATACTCCATTGTATCAAGCACTTTAAAAGTGAAGCTGATCATGGAGGAATCACAATGAAGTAGATCCATGTGAACTCCTTCAACCTTTTCTTGGAATAATTTATTTTGTTTTTTGGTCACGTGTCCATCGTTTCTTTTCTTAACTTGCTTACTCTTCTGTTGTGTTTGATTTTTTCTGTCAACCCTGTGAGTGCTTTTGTGTTAATTTTAAACTGATGCTGTGCATTTGCGATGTCGTCAGCTTCTAATTCAAAGTCACCATCGATCATATCCTCTGCCTTCTCCACGATTTGTTGAATTGCGTCGGCCGACGCTTCCCTTGCTCTAGCCATACTAACGGATTGTTTCTCAGAGCGGTCTGCCGCGGAAGGGCCACGACCTACTGTTTTTAGGCCAAGGGATTGTCTCTTTTTTTCTGCAGCCTCCAAAACAGCGCTTGCGCATTCCGCGGTTACCACGTCCAGCAGACTTTTCCTATATCCGGAGGCATGCAAAGACTTGGCATTTGCCACCTCCGCAGAGGAT